ACAAAAAAATTCGCTGAATTCCTTGCAAAATATTGCCTTGCCTTTCTGGCTGCAACAACCGGAATGGAATTATCTTTCCGTGAACAACAATGTGTTGTTGTAAATATGTTTTATTTACAGTACCTAATTCACTGATAAGCACCAGTCTATAAAACTTGTTGTATTGTCTACGCTATAGCTACCGGAAACCGATTCATTGACCGTTTGTTACTGTTTTGCCTGGTTAATAGCAGCACTTTCAAACGATCCCAGTTTGTAGTGCAACAAAGTCCATCTGTAGCGTGACAATACCGAACACATCTATCTTCATGTTAGATATGAATGCAAAAAGTTTGTTCATACCAGGCAGTGTGATTTCCACAGTGGACACTACTGGTCAGGCGTTCCGATAGGTGCTTAGTAAAATGATAAGAATTTAAAAAATCAAAGAATACTTGTGACAGTTGGTTTTGTGTCCATAAGCTTTGCTTCTTATCATATAATTAATTTAATTTGACTTCCATATGATTAAGCAGTTGTAGGTGAAGAAAGTTCGGATTACCTCAAACAAAATATTCTGCCTTTATGACGCCAAAGCATAGTTTGTTTGGTTCTCTTACAAAATTAGGTCTTTCATAATACTTCTAAACTTTTTTTTAGTGAGACAAAGATTGAATTTAACATCCAGATGCTAACTTCAATATATTTGTGTTCGGGAGTGAACCTCTGTTATAAAATCAACGACGCCTAATCATGGGTAGATATGGCAGCTTAAAATCAAACCAGATTTGTGCAGAAAGCTGAGTACACCAAAAGCGGAGGCAAGATGACCCAAGTGGTTAGAGCGCGGTTTACTGACCGGGTCCGTGGTTCGAACCCGATTTCTGTCTCTCGACTTCCCCTGTCTAGGCTTGTGCAACTTGACAGTATCCCAACCCTCGTGCAACTTTCGGGTGGCACGGCAGCTAGGCACCTAACAAGTTCTTCATTTGAACACCAGTAGTGTCGAAAAGTTATTATCGTACAAGTCCGATGATCTTAGGCAGCAAAATCCGTGGAACAGTTTCATATAACAGCAGATCGATACCTCGTTTGGTAATAGGTTGTAGAAATAAATTAATCTGCCTGTTCAACGGCTGCACCATCAACAGCCAAAAATGTAATCGAAGCAATTGGTGTGCTTTTGATTCATGAACGGTGAGTGATTTTGTGCCTACACATAGATATGTGTTATTTGAATGATCGATTTTGCTTGGCTCTCTTGGTGCTACACTAAGTTTCCAGTAAGAAACGCAGTCAAATCCGGATGAAAAAGATATCACTAATCCTATAGCCCCTTATTTCCTAAAAATCTGAACTGAGAATTGTTTGGGTTAGCCGCATTTGCTTGATACCCTATTTTTAATGCTGCATGAATAACAGCACCGCCGCTATCTTCAAAAATGGAATGGGTGGACTGATGCTCATTGCGATGCGAAGCAGCACGCTCAAATGTATTAGCAAAACTCCGTAGATAGCCATGTTTTCAAACATTAAACAGAAAGCTACTTCGTGCTCATTTTGTGCGGAAATTAACACTCACAGAAAGAGTAAGTGGTCTGAATGAACTTGTTATTGTTACGGATTTTGTATCGAGTGGTCGTTTCAGCAGAGGGATACTCTGGATCCTCTATACTCGCACACAACAAATAAAGCTACAAGTCCGTGAGAAGATCTGCTGACTGCAAATGTATTCTGGACGGACTTTTACGGTCCTCCTATGTGTTGAATTGTCGGTCAAAAAGGGAAATAAGCAAAAGCGAAGTTATAATATTCCACACGCTCCAAAAGCTTTATTTTGAACCTCAGTAGACTACCTCTAATCTGTTTTGCCTAGTTTGCTATTTCGATTACGCGATTTCTGACAACAAAGACTTTGCTCACTCCTGTTTTCGAGCTCCCATCTAGTGGAGTTTCGTCAATACCCTTTCCTCGCATTTGCCGTTTTGATTAGTATATCTAATAATTTATGAATAAAAGGGCTTAAATGAAGTCTTATAAACACGACCAAATATATATAAAAATATATTTATGAACGATGTGCCTCAACTCTTACGTTAATTCAGAATCCATTAAAAACTGAGTTGAAAATTGCACCCGCTGCTGGTCTGTAACTCACCCGATGCTCGTTGATACTCTAGGCGATTCTTTGCAATTTCTTACAAATAAAAAATACCTAACTCATATTTCTTCAACTGATTCCAAACCTTGACAATGAATCCCAGTATGTCCTTGATCTCAGCTCTATCATATATTCCATTCAAACGTTGTCAGATTTAACTCTCTTGTTCTCGATGGTGGTTTGAGTGTCTTGTGCGTTCTGGGCTTTGATTACAATTGATGGCCCACCCAGTAAAGCTCTCCGTGCAAATTGTTTGTTGCATATAAAAAGGAAGCTTTTAAATTCGTACCATGCTACAACTGTATTTGACAATATCATGGAATTTGTGAAGACCTTATGAAATTTAATATGCACTTCTTCGAAGCAGTCAAGTCTTCCTCAACAGGGTGCAGTGCGCGAAAAAATGGATTGCTTCAAATGCGGTTGGTTGCATCCTTCTCCAAACTTGTATTTCCTGCACATTCGTAACTGCTGCATTTACATCAATGTTAATCACAAAACTAATTATTCCGTGTGAACTTGATTCCTCTGAAGCCATGTAACTTTATTGGCCGTAAATGTTAGTTAACGGGTATTCGAATTTCTCCAGGGAGATGTTGATTTTTTTCACAAGAATAGGTTGGACATTTGACAAAAACACCTCTCCAAATATTGGCTTCAGGGTGCCGATCAGTGAGAATCCATACTGACAAAAAGAGTTCATACTATCTTGTTTTGAATTATATGTAAAAGCTTTTCTGCGGAAGCGTATTTTCCTGATTTCTGTTCAGACATCACACTCCGGAACTTGCCGCAGTCAGTGTTCTGTCACTGAATGTTATTCTACCTTATGTTTCACTGAAAAACTCGCGTCATTTTTCATTCGCCCCATTCCCATCAGGTTCACTGTGTCCAAAGTTATAAAACATCCCAGCCACAAAACGCATTTGCGTTTCCGACTGCTGTGCACTTTTGAAATATCAGATTCTTGTGGAAGCTAAACTGGGTGGCTTGTGAATTCCAGGGTCATTTGACCGAGTTAAACAGATACATTTCACTGCTTTTACAGGGTCTGCCCTCCCCCCCGGTCCAAAAAACCCCACCACTTTGTATAAAAAATGATGCTGTCTCACAAAATCACACCAACAGCTTTGGGGTTTCGTATAATTCCATCGCAAACCCCATTAATTTACAGCTCCTGAATGAAGGAATGATCTGGTTTCATCATTCTTTGGTTGCACTGAGGCATTTGCAGATAATATTGCCTTCAAAAATCACTTTCCATTACTCATACTGATAAACCCAATGTGAATAAAGTTGATCAGCTTATGGATACGTAGATATTTTCAACACCTAGTTAGTTCACATTTATGCCTCGGGTTCTCCGAGGGGTGACTAAACTAATCTTTTCAAATTCCAAATTGTCTCATTTTCGGTTCTCCAGTCACGGAAGGTGATTGCCATTTGTTAACCATATCCTTCTGTGGAAATTTCCCACACTTTGGCCGGTCACTCAAACAGTTTTCCGAGGTTTTTTTTGTGGAGCTAGTTGCAGCCGAACTCTCTTGAGAAGTTCAATATCTGTAATGTTCCTATTATTTCTACTCCACCTCCAGTTGTTCAACATGTAAAAATAGCCTATTCACACCATCGTGGAACGATTCCGTTACAAAAATAGGATCCTTCCACATATTTTATAATTCCATGCCAAATTTAATAAGGTTTTGTAAGCGAATAGCATCGTTCTAAATCAACACATCCTGTCAACTTCCTTGCACTGAAGCTTAGCCTCTTTTGATAAAGTTGTCGTTCGACTTGAAAAGCTGCTATGAGAAGACATTAAAAATTGTTTTCTGTTCGAAGGCTGGTTTGTCTACCCACCGTTTCTGGAACTCTATGAAGGGGATCAGAATAAACCTTATTATGACTGGTTAACAATCGAATAGGCTATCAAAAATTGTATTGCTAAAATTGCTTACAGGGACATCAACAATTCAGTTTCCCGGTAAGACGTCCATAGACCTCCTTCAGATAACCTTCCTGAAAATGGTTAATAGACGTTTAGTGGCATAATATAAAGATGAAACACTATATAATCGCTTCGCTTCTAATTAGCTTCTTGANAATCGCTTCGCTTCTAATTGGCTTCTTGAATCAAGTTAACACATTTATTCAAATCGATCATGTTAGAGATCCAATGAATGAATGATTGCTTATAAGAGCATCTTCATCTTCCATTCCTTACCATTTAAAACTTGCGCAATGTGTTTAATTCAACAGTGTATATTCAGCACAACTCGATACATGTAGACTCAAATGCATCTTCATTTCAGTGGAAACGCGCATACACGTGACAATAACAATTCACTTTTTATAACGATAATATATTTCTGCCATTCAAATTATCATGTAGGTGGAATCAAAGCAACTAAGATCAACTTATCACCACACCAGTCCGTGTCATGTCTATTAGCTGGGTGACCACATTTCGATCTACTGAAAAGGGTTGGATGCTCACTAAGACCCTACTCATCACTGCATGCACACGGCTTTTGAGAAGTGATGGAACGTTTATAAATAGGTCGAATAAGTAGTAAGCGTGCCAGGATTTCATTGTCAAGTAAGCTCCTGTGGCTTGGTTGTTCTTGGTTGTCAAAACAAGGGTTCCGGAAGCTTTCGAAATTGGTCATCCTCGAAGAGTAGCCGGTACTGTTTGGAATCTCACAGCCACTTTTGCACCTGGAAGAGAATCCTCTAAGACTGCCACTTTTGCTTAGTAGTTTAAACGACATAGATTGAGGGACATAATGTGCCTGGTCTTTGCTTGGTCATCGATAAATATTGTGACTTCACACTTCCGGTTCTGCTTTTCAGCTAGAAAATGCCGCCCTTAGGATGCACCAGTTGTGGACTGAAAAGGCTTTTCACTATGTTGGACACAGATGGGGATAATAAAATAACATTTGATGAGTTAAAAAACGGTCTTCATATGTTTGGTTTTACTGACGACAAAGTAAAGGTGAGTTACTAGCTGTTCTTTCTTTGGATGTGAAATTTTGACTGCTTTTAATGTTAGTTTGGTGATGACAAGCTGCCATTCCCATAGTAAAGTCAAAGTGATGTGGGGTTCATCCAGTTCACAACAGCTTGTGAAACCTGAAAATTCAGATTATTACAGGGGTTTATCAACCTGTTAAGAATTATTTAAAATTACTAACCATGAAGCTTTCATAATTGAGAAATTCTTCAATCAGTTTTGCCTGCAGTATGCAAAAGTTTAATTCATTGGTTCACCCTGCGCTTCTTCCGAGCAAAACCAAAAGTGCATTCTCAATCAAGTAAAATATTGTTTGTCCTTTCAGCAATTTCTAGATAAACTCGACACTAATAAAGATGGGACTGTCACCTATGATGAATACAAAAATGTTTTCGAA